GAGTTCGAGAGACGCATAGCAAGCTCACCTCATCGACAGGTCCTTTAGGAGTCTACGACGGAAATATGACATAGTCTGGCTCAGAGTGTAAGACTTTATCAGAGCATCGCATTCACTAAGCAACTGTCTCAAGAAGAGAAATAAACCAGCGATGAACTTACTCAGTGAGGAAGACTCCTGACCTATAGATATCTGGTTTACGCGAGCAACTTTACGCAAGGCTCCAATGTACCTTCCAAAACATCAGTAGCTGCATCGAAACACAGAACATCTGGGAGTTTTAATGTAACTCACTTGGCAATTTTCTCTGTAGTCCCCAGAAAATGAGGCAACCTAATCGCATGTCTCCGAGCACAGAAACGAACCCTATGGAGATCCTTCCGAGACAGCAGCCCACAATGCAGAAGCACGAAGTCAATGGAGTCCAAGTTCCGCAAGATATCCACTGCGCCGAGGAAATACCTGCCGAAAGCCCTACGATGTGCGCAAGGAGTGGTATGATCGAAGAACCGCAAGCGATTCCCAACTCACGCTTGGTCCAACGTACACGCCCCTCTAGGGATACCAGTGTCCCGGATGCCCCTTTTCACACGACCTGACCAATATCATTCGCGGGACCATCGACGACGAGACCGTAGCTTACTGCACAGCTTAAAGCGCCTCACAGGATCCTGGACGTAGCGTTGTAACAAGTGGAAGAGCTGAACGAAGCTACGATTCTGACCTTGCACTGTTGCCCAATATCGCAACGCGGGGGACCACAGGTATACTAGGGCAAGGAATACATTCCAAAGGGGCAGTAGGCAGGTACATACACTCTGCATTCTTGGGTCTCTTGTCCGACTGCACCAGAGCGTTTAGTGTAGCTAATCCTTCCTCGGTAGCAAAATGATTCTCCAGCTTTGGACGATTGTCTTTAGGACCAGACAGACGCCGGTCGGCTCTCCAAGGCTGAGGACATGTGATGGCGGCGATCCACACAGAGGGTGACCATCGCTACTTGAAGATCGTTATTGAGCATCCTCAATAGGTGGGTCCCTATCTCATGAGCGCACAGTCCCGGTATCATCCCTGTTGGCACCGGTGTATCTAGCATGGATGAGACAATGCTTAGGGAACACAGCCACTACTACCTGTGAGATGCAACACGTGT